TATAGATGGCGTGTCTGTCCGAGTGCCCAGTGGGTATCTCTGAGCGTGTTACTGTATTCCGAGGTTGGTTAAATGGTACCATCTCTTACCTTGTCCCTGAGACAGAGCGCAGAGGTTATTCTTGAGCAGGACATAATATCCAGTGGTAAGGAATTTGGATTTTATTCCAAGCGAATAGGTAGCTATCAGAAGGTTTTGAACTAGGGGTGGGGTGGGTCATAGGTCAGATTTTGCTTTAAAGGTATTCGCAGGGACTTCCTGGTGGTCCAGTGGATGAGACTCTGCCTGCTAATGCAAGGGATATGGCTTCGATCCCTGGTCTGGGAAGCTTCCACGTGTCTTGTAGCAACTAAGCCCGTGCTCCACACCCACGGGGCCCGCAAGCCTAGAGCCCCAGCTCCGCAATGAGAGAAGCCTGCAGTAAGCGCAGTGTGATAAGAAGCCTGCACAGAGCAACGGAGAACAGCCCCAGTCACTGCAACTAAAGAAAAAAATTAATAAGTAGAAGTTTAAAAAAAAGACATTCCCTGTAACATAACGTACAACAAAAGAATGCACTCTCCCTTCCTTGTTAAAAACTCTAGTTCAAATTCTGTTTTGAAAGCTGAAGTCTTGGTTGGGGGGCAGGGAAGGCAGGCTGTGGGGTGGGGGGAGTCAACAGTCGTTGTCGATAATGTTTACTAGTTATGTGACCTTAGGTTAATTGATTAATCTCTCTGAGCCTCAGTTTCCTTGTTAATAAAACAGTAATAATAACACCTGTCTCTCAGGGTTATTAAGTGGATTAAATGAGATCATGTTTATAAAACATCTGTCACAGTGCCTGGCAAAGTCGGGGCTCAATGATGTAAATTCCTTTTCCTCTTTTTCCAACCATCGAATCTGTATATGTCACACTCCTGTCCAAATAGAGGTAAATGCAAAACCTGGCAACTACGTTCAAAAAATCAATTGCACAACAGCAGGACAGGTGTCCTCAGTAAACAGCTGAATGGCTTGGCTGCCACAATAACACATGCGACTTTAGATTAATAGAAGCACAATTTCTGATGACAAGAGGGGTGAATCTGTTTGTTGTCCGTATCAGTCAAACCATATTTGGAGTCCTGGAAATCATTCTGGGAGTGCTAAGTTGAGAGAAGTGTTAGTAAGTGAAGTACATTCAAAGAAAAATGGGACGATATGAAAAGGCTTGGGAACCACATTGTATATAAAATGTTTTGGAAAATTTAACATGGTTTAAAAAAAATGAAAAGAAAGCTTGAAAGCTGTACAAATAGTTAAAGGTCTGTCACTTGAAAGAAAGACAAGATTTGCATCACGTTGGTGTAGAGGTGGCTCACCCTGGACCACTGAATGGAAACTGAAGAGAGAAGATTTTCCAGCTTGAAAGAGCTCCCTGATAGGAGAAATGAGCTGTCAATCAATGCAAACCTTCTAGGAAAGATGGAGGAGTCAGTTCCTTGGCTGAGATGCATGCTGATAAAGGACTTTGCAATGAGAGTCCAGCCAAACCAAGAGGCTGCTGATCATACTTTCCAAATTTCCAATTCCATAAACCTGAGGGGTGCAGTAGCCAAGTTTCTGGAGGGCAATAGACCCTCTTGGATTCCAGACACTGTATTCTTCTCTTGATGTTTCTGGTGAAAAAGAGGATTGTGAGATACATGAATCTATGTTTTATCCAGTAGAGAGATGAATACAGGGTTATTCTTGGTGGGCAGGAGGGGATGGCTAAGATAGAGTGGGTCACCTCTATGCAAACTGTGTCAGAGTAAATTTCACACCACTGAAATTCTTTACCACTGAGCCACCAGGGAAGCCCCAGAATGTTAGGGTAGAGATTCCCAATAACAAGTTCTGTGATATTGCCATCAGTTTATGGATAGGATTAAAGGCTGGTATTTTATTAAGCACCTACTGTGTATCAGGCGCTGCCAAGAACAGAAAGAAAAGCCTCTTGTTTGTAGCCTTTGGTGTCATGGTTTACTGTCAACAGCTTTAGTCACAGGCAGACCTAGTTTTTATAAGGCCTTAAGCTTGTACAGTTTTTTTGTTTTTGTTTTTTTTGAGGGGAGAGCTCTTTAAGAAAAGAATATAGGGACTTCCCTGGTGGTTCAGTGGTTAAAACTCTGTGCTTCCACTGTAGGGGCAAAGAGTTCAATCCTTAGGCTAGGAACAAGGATCCCAATATGCCAAGGAGTGAGACCAGAAAAAAAAAAAAGAATATAAATTTAAAAATACAAGTTTAAGTATAGGGCCTTCAAAGGAGCCTGTGCAAGCGATGAGCCCTGAGGTTTAAGTTTCTTTGGTATAGTAGGAAGTCCGCCTCTGGTTACAGTGATTGTTCATCAGTTAATTTAATTTAAAAAGTGCCACTGGGGTGCCTCAAAAATGTTCACTTTGGAAATCAAGGGAAGAGGGGGATGGGATGGCAGTGAGGTGAGAAAGTAAACACACAGCTGAAACTAACCCGTAAGTTCCACTTTAGTAACAGTGCAAAAGAATGATTCAAAATGAGTTTTTTCAAAATCTCTTTTGTTTATCCCATTTTGCTAAAAAATCCCTTTTTGTTAAAACAGTTGAGAGAGATTTTGAGTACAAATAAATAACTCTGGATCTACACAGGAGCCTTTTTTCTGATCTGGAGGACTCTGTTAAGTTTCCAATCAAGTTCTTGTTGTCAAGGTGATAAGCTCTGCATTTCTGGCTTTAGAATAAAAATTCCTTTAACCTATTCTATGATCTGGTGATCTGGGGTTCTGACTAGGTCTGGAGGATGGGGGTGAGGCAATTTAGAAGAATTCTCTGCAGGCCAGCATCTGCTGTATTTGCTGGGTATCAGACCTGCTTGGGGATTTCTGAAAATCCTTCTGCCCTTCCCCTCTTCTAAGGCAGTAGGAATCCTGTACAGACTGGTTCATTCTGAGACAGTCAAGTCTCAGGAGGCTCCCAGGCTAATAACCGCTCTAAAAACAGCCCCGATTCACAAGGGAGGGATTAGAAACATTCTTAACAAAAAGGGAAACTGAGGCACGAGGCAGTAAGCCACCTGCGCTTGGTCCACCTGGGTATCGATGTCCCAACAGAATATCTGGCTCTGAGGAGGTCTGCTGAAGGTCACACACAGATGAGCACATTTCTAGGAGGGAGAAAGTATGAAGGTGTTAGTCACTCCGCTGTGTTCAACCCTTTGCGACCCCACCAGGCTCCTCTGTCCATGGGATTCTCCAGGCAAGAATGCTGGAGTGGGTTGCCATGCCTTCCTCCAGGGGATCTTCCCCATCCAGGGATTGAACCCGAGTCTCCTGCCTTGCAGGCAGATTCTTTTACCATCTTAGCCATTAGAGAAGCCCCAATCTGACAAATAAGGGAAGTTTGGGAAAAAAGAGGTGGTCCAGATGGGGTGGAAGGTGTTGATTTTAATTGACAACAGGATTAGGGCACGTCCGCGTGCACGGGAACTAATGAACACCACAGAGACTTTTGGAGAGATTCTGTGAGTGTTGGCAAGGGGAAAATAGAGATTTTTGTGCCCTCAGAGGGGAGAAGCTGGGCCCGAGCAAACGTGATGACGCTCTGGCACAAACAGGGAATCAGTGTTTGTTGAAGGTATTTGCAAAGGAGGAGAGTATAATGTTGCCTCGATTTGATAACTACCATTTTCCTGGTTGTCACGATCCTCGCGCAGTACGCAAGCCAGGACTCCAGTAAGCAAAAGCAGACAATGTGAGGTTATACTCAAGTCTGAACGCTGGTGAAGAGTGTCAAGAGATACCAGCCCAGAAGTAAACCCAGTTTGAGATGAGAAGGCAGACTTGCCTGCTCAGAGTCACTTCCCCAATCAGCTGGGCTGTGTGCTGGAGGGGGGAGGGGGAGGGGTGGGGGAGTGTCTCCGTGTGGGGGTGGGAGGGAAGGAGTGATTTCATCTGTTTAATGAAAAATGACCTGAACGTTTCTCTGATCTTGGAAACTCCCATGTAACGGAGGCCAAGGAAAACAGGATTAGGTCTATTACTTCTACGACGGCTTTGCGTCTTCTCAGGAGTTAAACTGGAGGGAACAGAGAAAGAAGGGAATCTCATTTCGTTGTGCCAACAGATACAGCCGGAGACTGAAGGAGACGGTTTCCCCTGGTCTCCTTCGGACAGTTTTATCTTGGCTTCCTTTGCCTTTTGAATGGACACCCTGTTTCTTCGCTGTGTTCATAATCACAGGGGGTTTGCACTATTGAATTCAGACAAGCAAGTCACCTCCTTTGGCATTGTTTTCTCACAAGCCACTGACTTCAGGGTTAATACTCCCCCTCTGACTTCTGCAAGGAAGCAGCATTTGCTCTGAAGCCACGAGGGTGTTAAAACCACAACCAACGTTTTGCCAGGAGGGCAAACTACTGATATGCGATTTTCTATGCAACCCACTCCAGTACTCCGCCTGGAAAATCCCATGGACAGAGGAGCCTGGTAGTCTATAACCCATGGGGTCCCAAAGAGTCGGACACAACTGAGCGACTCAGCTTTTAAAACTTAAACTTACGTGACCTAAGGTGGTTGCTTATTCGCTAAGTCGTGACTGACTCTTTTGCGACCCCACGGGCTGTAGCCTGCCTGTCTCCTCTGCCCATGGGATTTCCCAGGCAAGAACACTGGGGTGGGTTGTCACTTCCCAGGGGATCTTTCCAGTCCAGGGAACCCCATCTCTCCCATGTCTTCTGCCAGTATGTCTCCTATATTGGAAGGTGGATTCTTTTATTTTGGAAGGTGGATTCTTTACCACTGAGCCACCTGGGAAGTCCTAGGTGACCTGGTAGGGTGACACTTTTCAAGATTTTTCTGCTTTGATATTTGGGGACACAGTCTTTAGCAGATTTTTAGGACTTCTAAAAGTATACATACCCCCCCCAAACATCACAATGATCAGGATGCCACCATTTCTTTGGTGCCCCAATTCTTCAAATCATCCTTTTAACAGGACAACCAAATAAATAAGTCCATAGGCCATTTTCTTTTTAATGCAATGTATATTTATTGTAAACAATATACAAAAAAAAAAAAGGAAGGAAGAGAAAAAGGAAAGGTAAGTTTCACAGAGAAAACAAAAGGTTTGGGTGGGGGGACAAGCGGAACAAACAAAACACAAACACAAACCAAACCTTACCTAAAGACAAAATATGATTTAAATGCCAGGTTTCTTAAGTTACAGAAATATTTTTTCTTAAAAAAAGATCTGCTTTTATACAGAAATGGAAAGATGCCATATTATAAGAGTGCTTTAAGATTTTATTCTACTGACTTCTAAAACTGTTAATATATCTTTTTTTAAATAAAAAAAAAGTTTGCTGTCTTTTTTAAAAAGCAATCCTCAAACTCTCCAGCCACAGAAGTAATTAGGAATTAAGATTTGTCAGTGGGCTGAGCCTCCTCCCCTGTTCCTCTCTCTCTCCAAGAGACATGCAGGGGACGCTGATGACACACGCTTGTATTGTTGGTGTCAGCACACACCAAAGACACAGTTTAGACAGCCCCGAGATCTGTGGCAGAAAACACTGCGAATGACTCAGTGATACACTACATCTGCAAACTCTCATGTGTACAAAAAGAGAAACACGTTTCCAGTTTGTTTTCAACAAAACAACAAAGAGGAAAGGAAAAAAAAAAAGACAAAAAAGGCATTTATACAAATCTAGGACAAGGAATCCAAAGAAACTTTTAATAAAAAAAAAGATTAAAGAGATAAATAAAAAAAAAACTGGTTACAGTTAAGGACATAATTTAACAACAGATGACCATACCCTTTGAGGACGGCTGCAATAACCTATTTTAAAGAAGGTAAATTTAAAAAATAAAAAAAAAAAGAGGGAGATTTTTTTTGTTGTTGTTTTTCATTAAAACCTCTCCTTACAAAATAAATAATTTTAGCACGTGGAATGTCTTGAAGGTTAACTGCTGGTGTTCAGAGAGGCACGGGTGATAGTGTTAGTGAAAGGATTCTAGCATCTGTATTCCACATGGGGCCGGGGCAGGCGACCTGGGGGCAGTGTGCTGGGGCACTTATTGGCTGCTGAAGCAGTCCCCAGACAGATTTCGTCTCCTTTGCTTGCCTTCTGCTGCTTAAGATTGTGGCGAACAAGCAAATACAGGAAGAAATGCATTCAAAGAGGGGGCAAAAATTTTCCAGCAGCATGGTTTTAAGGCTTTAAGGTGGCTTTTTTTTTTCTTGCTTAAAAAACATATATATGATAAAGCTTACCAGATGCTCACGCAATAGTCTCTAGACTATTGTTTACTTCTGTCTTTGCAATATAAGGCCTTGATTTTTCTTTCTAAGGCAACTTCTCCTTGAATTGGAAAGCCTGAGGAGTTAAGCAAAGCTCACCCTCCCCAAACTGCCCAGTAACACAAATCTGCGGCTTTTGCAGGTTAATATAACACACATCCTTTTTTTTTTTTTTTTTTTTGCTGTTTTTTCGTTCCTTTGTTTGTAAGAGAAAGCAAATCTGTACAAAAATACTCTGGCTGCAAGAAAAGCTAGGGCACGCTGTTCAAACTAAAGTAGTTTTAGCTGTTGGAAAAATAAGAGCATTTAATTCTTTTTATCTAAAAATATGTATAAATCCCCTCAAAATGGTAATGAATCATACACAGTACATACTAAAAAATATTTAAAATAGAGAATATTCCTCACAGAGGACTTTCTTTTTCTTTAATTACTGCTAAAAAATAATTACGAAGTCCAAACAGGCAGAGAGAACTGAGCAAACTGGTCACACGAGAGACTCTCCATCGTCCTCCACGCTCGCTTTGAAGGTTTCCAGTCCAGTTTCGGCGTCGGTTCCGCCGGTCCATTCTAGCCAAGAGTGAGCTGGCCACCGGTCTAACGACAAGGCGGTGATGCGTCTGGATAGCTCAAAGTTTAGTGTCTTGGGATCTGCGTCCGAGTCGCCTTCAGCGTTAACGTGTCTTTAAAAAAAAAAAAAAAGAGAGAGAGAGAGAGAGAAGGAAAAAAAAAATGTCCAAAGGGTCGCGCGTTTGTTTCTTCGGTTCTTTCTGCGATCATCACGGCCAGCATCGCGGGCGCCCGCCCCGTGCGAGCTCTTCTCAGGGTCTGGTGAGCTGTGTGTACACCGGCTGTTCCCAGTGCTGCGGGCTGTGGGTCTGGGGGATGGAGGGCACCCCCGAGGTGTCGGCGATGGGCGTGTACATGGGCCGCTGCGCCGGGCTCATGTAGCTGAAGGTGGAGTAGAGGCCGGAGCCCTGGCCGGCCGCGTGGCTGTAGTAGGCGCCCGAGTTCTGGGGGTCGCTGTAGTCGTACTGCGCGCGCGTGATGGGCGGGTAGGCGGGGCCGTAGTGCGGCAGGCTGAAGGGGCTGTAGGCGATCTGCTGCGGCGAGTGCTGCTGCGGCTCGCTGTAGTGGCTGGGGCTCAGCTGCTCCGTCTTGATGTGCGTTCGCTGCGCGGGGCCCGACGCCTGCTGCTTGGACATCCACACGTGGCCCGCGCCCGCCGGGCTGGCCGCCGTGCTGCTCACGCCGTAGCTGCCCGTGTAGGTGACCTGGCCGTGCGTGGCCGGCACCCCCGGGTGCCCGTTGGGCGGCAGGTACTGGTCGAACTCGTGGACGTCGAAGGTCTCCATGTTGGAGATGACGTCGCTACTCAGTTCGCCGATGTCCACGTCGCGGAAGTCGATGGGGGGCTGCCGGCCCCCCTCTGGCAGGGGGCGCCCCTCCCGCTTCAGGTCGGCCTTGCCTGGCTGCACGTCAGTTTTGGGGGTAGTGGGGGGCGTCGGTGGACCCTGGGATTGCCCTGCGGGGCGGTGAAAGAGGGAGAAGCATAGGGCCATCAACCACGGCTGCGCAGAGGCTCTGGTCCCGGGGTGGGGGCGGGGGGCGCACCTACCCACCCTCCCTCCCCGCATCCGCGAGGTAGGCGCGCTGCGCCCGAGATAAGGCGTAGAATCATTAACCCGCCGGTACACACTCGGCAGCCCCCTTTTATCAGGGGAGGGTCCAAGGCCCCGGAGGGTCCGGAAGACCACATTGCTACTTGTAGAAAAGCCCTGTGTGTGCTTTTGGGGCGGGGTAGCAAAGAGAAAAAGGGGAGAAGGCCGGTAAAGCTGTAAAGGCATTTTGCCTTGCAATAAAAATTAATCTGTTAGGATGCAAGGATTAGGGGGTGTGTTGTGTGTGTCCAGGGACTTCGTGGGGCCCTGGGGTCCCGGGCAGGGAGGCGAGGAGAATTGGGCGAATGGGCGCAGGGCTTAGTTTGTCTCCCTCCTCGGGGAGCGCCTTGTCCCTAAGCAGAGCCTCCCGGGTGTTTGGGGGGCGGGGGGCGGGCTGCCGGGGTGGGGGTCTGGCGGCTCGGCCCCGGGGCGGGGGGAGGCTCACCCGAGTGCTCGCCGGGGGAGTGCACCTCACTCATGCCGGAGGAGGAGTGCGGCGAGTCGGCCTGCAGCGCCTTGAAGATGGCGTTGGGCGAAATGTGCGTCTGCTCCGGGGCCTCCTCGGCCTCCGCCTGGCCGTTCTTCACCGACTTCCTCCGGCGCGGCTGGTACTTGTAGTCCGGGTGATCCTTCTTGTGCTGCACGCGCAGCCGCTCCGCCTCCTCCACGAACGGCCGCTTCTCGCTCTCGTTCAGCAGTCTGGGGCCGGCGCGGGGAGAAAGAGACAGGGGCTGAGCTAGCAGGTCGGCGAGACCCGGAGGCGACCCCCACCCCGCGGCATCCTAACACTGACCCCCGCCTCCCTCCCGCCTCCCTGCCTGCCTGCCTGCCTGCCGCGACTGCAGCTCACCGCTTTTCTTTGAAAAACAAGAACCGCAAAACTTTGTCCTTTTGGTGCGACCTGAGCGGTCCCTCCCCGCCCCGCCCTCTCCCCTTCTCTTCTATTTTGGAAACCCTGCGGATGAAAATAGCTCCCGCTCTCCGGGCCTTTGCTACTGGATATTTACCCGCCCCGCTTCCGTCCGCAACACCCTCTGAACATTTTCTAAAAAACCACTTAATCTGCAAGAAGCTGCTCCTGCCGAACCCCACCGCCCCCCGCCCGCTAACACACACAGGGCACCCACCTATTTCCAGCAGCTTCCAACCCCATCCCCCACCCCGTCCGCTTCCTGCCAGGGGACCCTCAGGCCTTAGTTTGCCACCCCTCCTCCCCCTGCATACCATCCCGGTGGGCGAAGGGCGAGCGCAGGTCGAGGCAGGGGGCGGCACACTTCTATTGCCACCGCAGCCCCCACTTGGGATTGGCCTTCACAGTGGGCGGCAGGAGATGAGGCTGGCAGCCGGTCCCACCGCGTCCCCTGCGNTAAGCTCGGCGTTGTGCAGGTGCGGGTACTGGTCGGCCAGCTTCCTGCGCGCCGCCTGCGCCCACACCATGAAGGCGTTCATGGGCCGCTTGACGTGCGGCTTGTTCTTGCTGGAGCCGTTGACGCGCACCGGCATGGGCACCAGCGTCCAGTCGTAGCCCTTGAGCACCTGGCTGACGGCCTCGCGGATGCACACGGGGAACTTGTCCTCCTCGCTCTCCTTCTTCAGGTCCGGCTCGCCCTTGGGGAACGTGTTCTCCTGGGGCCGCGTGTTCTCGGTGTCGGAGCCGGAGCCCGAAGGGCACGGCGAGCCCGCCGAGTCCTCGGACATGGTGGGGCTAGGGGCGGCGGACAGGCCCTTCTCCTGCTCGTCGGTCATCTTCATGAAGGGGTCCAGGAGATTCATACGCAGGCCCGGGGCAGGGGGCGGGTGGCCGGGAAAGGCGAGAAGCCGCGGCGGCTCGGGCACTCGAGGCGCGGGCTCCTCTCCCCTCGGCGGCCCGGGCGCGGGGCGAGCAGCTCCCGGGGAGCCTGGCGCGTCACTCGGCCGCAGGGACGAGCGTTTAGGAAGGCGCGCGGGGGCCAGCCCGCAGCTGCCCGCTCCAAGTGGGGGAAGGCGAACTGGCGAGGAGGAGGAGGAGGGGAAGAGAGAGCAGAAAGCGGGGGCGATTGCACCCTTCTCTCCTCCCTCCTGCAAAGAAAAGTTCCTGGAGTGAAACTGGCAAGTCTCGGCGCCACTGAAGTCCCAGCTCAGTTTCAATCTCCGCTCTGCGCTCTNGTGTGTGTCTGTGGACTAGGATTTGTCCCCACCCACAGGCATTTCTGTTCAGTTTTCTCCGCGGTCCCGGGGACTTAACTGGGTTTGCAGTATTCGAAAAGCTATCGCTCCTGCTCCTTCCTTAACTCCCAGCCCAGTTTCCGCGCCTGGAGCCTGCCTCCTCCGAAAGTGCTTAGAAATTGTCTTTTGAAGCAAATGTTTTGGTGACTCAACGTCCGCCGTTCCTCTGTAATAATCCGTATAAATAGACGAACATGCTCTGGTTCGCCGGGGCCCGTGCGGCTGGTCGGGACTCGGCTGCGCTCGGTGCAAAGAGAATCAATGAAAACCACAGCGAAGTGCCCCGCGCGCGCCGGCCGCCGCGGCGACGCCGGAGCCCCGCGCAGTCGCGGGAGCCGGCCCGCGCCTCTCAGACCTTGAACTCTGACTTAGTTCTTCTCCAGCCCCCCTGTCCTCCCAGCCCGCACACCGCCGCGCGGCTCAGTGACAGGGCGACCGTCCCGAGGTTCTGCCTTTCACCTCTGGCCGAATCAGAACTTGAGCAGAGTTTCCCTTGGAGAGAGTTCGCTTACTGCTCTGGCTTTCAGAAACCGAACTTGGCGAACGTGGCTGTGCTGGGCCTGGAGGCCGAGGCCCGTCACTGGGTTTGAAAAAGCCAAAACAAATGGGTTCCACCGCAGACAAAACACTCCATTTTGGTGGAGTCCTGCTTCTTGCCTGCTTTCACCTTCCCCCACACCCCCCTACAAAAACACCTGGAGCGGCGAAGCGCCTGTGGTGCTGACTTTAGTCGGATCCTCTGACTTGCAGACATTCGGAAGTCCTGGTCAGGGGTGTGGGGGTGTCGCTGATGTGTTTCAAGTGTGATTTGAGCACAACTTTTGTGTTTACACGAACTGCTTAGCTGGCTCTGTGTTTTGAGAGGGAAGAAAAATCTTAGTCGCCTGCGGGTTCCGTGTGTTGAGAATCACAAATAAACGCACAACACAACGGCGGAAAACTCACTTCTAAGTACCTGCCCCTTTCTCCTTCTGGCTCTCGCCAGTGTTCGCCTCCGAATTAAATTATTGTTACGGTGAATCATCCCTCTTCATAGCAAAGACTTCTTATTTCTAATTTGCAAACTGCGGACACTAGTGCAAGATTTCAAAGAATGTTTTCCTTGGAGAATTTTTTTCCCCCTGACATTTCCATTTCTTCTGAAGAACTGGACATTTGTTACAGGAAATGGAACTCTTCAGAAGGTAGCCAGTTACAAAACTGTGAAACAGTATTTACTTTTTAAACGAATGTAACTTACAAGTGGACATGTCTGGTACTCTATAGCTTGTTTACCCCTTTAAGAGACGAGGTACAACAGCCTTGTATTCCTGGCCGAGTGAATACGCTGGGAAAGCATAAGAACAACTCCGACCTTTCTTAGGAGAAAAAGTCCCGCTTAGTCGGGACTGATATCTGGGTCCTAGGGAGGGGGGAGTTGTTAGTACAATTCTCAAGACACCTGACCGAAGAGGGGACTCAGAGACCAGAACTTCGGGTAGAAGCTTTAGCCGGGCCGTCTGTATTTAGTTGCATTGTATTGTAATTCCCATGTTTACTGGCATGAAGGCAGTGAAGACGAATGTGACTTTTTTGGGGTAATATTTCACTAAATATTTGTCAAGATAAATACGTAATCTAAATATATATTTTAACGTGATAATGTAATAGGAGCTATGTAATGCATAGAATTTAAAATTGTAAGCTATAGATCTGTATCCCCTTTCTGTTTGTTCCATACCAATATTTTTGTATCTTTTTGAAAGTTTAGGATAAACAGTTGATTTTAAAAACGGGCTGCAATTTTTAGCTGCATCCAGAGAGGGCGCCAAAAGCCCAGAAACTGTCTTAACTCTCAGAAACTGCAGGAAAACTGAGATGGTGGTGGTAGGGGGTGGTGTGTTTCACTCAGTCAAGGCTGCCCTGCTGCAGAGATTTCTCTCCGCAGGAATTCCTATCCGATATGTCCTCCCATGCAGGTCCACCTCTGGGCAGCCCAGCGAAGGGAACTGGGAGATGTGTCTCCTATAGTCAGGCATTTGAGATGTCTGACGTTTCTGTTCTGCCCAGAACGGGAACACTGAGACCGCAATGACCCCCCAGCTCCAAGGTGCCAAGCATCTCGGAGTGCCAGGACCAGGCCGATTCTGGCGCGTGGGCATCATGGATCAGTTAGTGGGGAGGGTGCCCATCCCCCACCCCACCCACCTCCATGCGGGGACTTGGTTCGCTGGGGGTGGGGGGATGACTCTCCCCGGGTCGCAGGTTGACCTTTCTGAGCTGCCCAAGGAAGAAGGCTCGCAGCCCCCACCAGAGCCCCTGAGTCAGAGGGAACCCGAAGGAAAGAAACCCGTTCACAATATTCCGGTTGCAGATGGAGAAACTGAGGCTGTCGACCCAGTTTGAGCTAGAGCGTTCTGCCTAGGGGTGGGGGTGGGGGGCTGAAGGAGACCGGGGGGCGCAGACGGAGCAGAAAGGGCCAGCGCTGGGCCGCACTGCCCCCAATACAAGGCGCGCATTCGCGTCCCGCCCGCGAGGGAGGCAACGCCGCGAGGTCTGCAGCCGGGAGCCGAGACTCCCGGTGCGAGCGGATCCCTCGGGAAACTGAGGTCTGGGATACGCCCCACCTCCCGCTCTCTCGGCGTCCGTGGCCGGCGCCGGGCTCAATTTCCCCAGCCCGGGCGGCCGTTCCCCCTCCGCGTCTACGCGGGAGCCAGGCAGGAGCCCAGCGTAGCTGGCGTGGAGCGCATTCCGTGCGCCTGGGCGCGGGAAGGGGGGGCTCTGTCTCCGAGAGCGGCAGCGTCTCCCGCGTCTCTCTGCCCAGGGCAGTGTTTTCTGCAGAAGTGCCGGGGACGAGGGATGCCCCTGCCCTCCGCCAACATCCCTGGCCGGGTTCCCTTGAGGTGAAAGAGCCCAGCCCCTGGCGGGACCCTCAGGCCCTGGCGCCCTCCCTGGGCGGCCTGCGGATCCTCGTTTTTAGCAGTGTTTCACTGGGGCCCGAGCCGACTTGCCGGTCTCCCCAGTTCGCGAGGGACATCAGTTCTCTTTGCAAAGGAGCCGCAGGTAAGCTTGTCTCAGGACAAGCGCCGGGCTGCGCGGCCCCAGCAGGAGGGAAAAGGGAAGTCCCAGGCGGTTTCGTCGGGGCGCAGTGAATATCTGTGGGCCGGCCAGAGAAAGTGACCTTTGCACCTCGCAGGGCTCCAGGGCTCCCGGCCGCACGTCCCCAAAACGCCCGCCCCTGTGTGTTTGTCCCAGTGCGTTTCTCCCCAAACGGGAGCCCTGCTCGGGGAGGTGATCCGATCTGTGTCGCCAAGATTGGAGCATCCCGGAGCCCCTAAAACTGCAGGCCGAGAAGGGGGCTTTTCATTTTCTCCCCCCACCTTGTTTTCCCAAAGAAAGCGGGGTGCGGTGAACGGGAAGTGTCGCGGGAAGGGAGGAACCCGTCCCCCTGCTCCGGGTGACGCGACCCGCCCTGGGGGCAGCGGCGACTGCAAACGCGCTCGGCGCCCCGGGGGCCTGGGGACCGAGCCAAAGCGAGACAGACTGGGCGAGCTGGCTAGTCCGGGCCTGGCTGAGAGTCCGAGGGGGAGAGGAGGGGAGAGCTGGCAGTGGGGACGTCCGGGCCGTGGCCCCAGAGGGACTTTGCTTCCAAAGGGAGTGTGCTGGCTCGCTTTTTTTAACCTTCCTTTTTCGAAAATATCTGTTTTTAGTCAAGGTACCAGGGAGAAGGGCACTGTGAGGATTCCTTCCAGGCTTCTCTAGGATGGCCCACGGGAAACTTCCTAGGACTCTGTGTGTGTGTGTGTGTGTGTGTGTGTTTGTCCCTCCATAATTTCCCTCTTTTAAAAAAAAATCTCTCGGGCATTTTCAGCTGAAAGTGCTTTTGCCTTGCTGATTTAAAAATACAAATAAAACCACTGCTGGAGGAAGCCGTTCCTCCTTTGCCCTGGACTCCGCAGGGGTCAGGGCGCTCACTTCACCCCAAGCATTTCCCCTGTAGGTCACAGAGTCCCACCTGCCTCCCCTGGGGTCCCCCTTCAGTTTAGGGTGTCTTTAGTTCCGGGGAGAGAACTGACAGAAAACAGCTGAGATTCTCAGGAGTTTTGAACAATTTCCCAAAGGGAACTGGAGCTCTAGAATGCGGGCTTCATCTCACTCTGCAGGGCCTCCACCCAGCTGCTCCCTCTTAGATGTCCTCGTAGTAGCTGGGACATCAGATTAGTTCAGATCTGCGTGAATGGGGCAAGGGGAGGGGGTTGTCTCCATCCAACCTAGGAAAAGGGCGAAGTGGTATCATTACACAATTCCGAAGGTGACTGCCAGAATTTAAGACAAATGATCTTGTGTCTTTCTCGCAATCCTTTTCTATCTCAGCAGGACCGGATGCCCGGGGCACATCACATCGCCCTGGTTTCTGGAACCTGTAGGTTCGAGGGGGCCCAGGCTTCCTCTGGTGCGATGCTGATGCAGAGTGGCGTGAGCCGGGCTCTCTGGCAGACGATCAAGCTGGGTCGCCAGCCCTCTGGTCTAGCTCAGGCGGCTGCCGGAGTGCCTTCCACCCCAGGGCCCCGGGAAGGCCAAAGCCATGAAGTCAGTCCCCAGTTTTCGGATTATCCCGGAGTGACATCTTGACGCTGGCGGTTCTCCGTGGGCGCTGTGACGTCGTGAAAACTGCAGAGAGTGGGTGGACCGAGAGCCCCCTGCTTAAACAGCCCCAGGGTATCATCAAGTGGGGGCCACAGGGAACCCGGAGATGCGCTGGGCTTCCTGCCTTGTCATTGTTTATTTCAGATTAATTTCTTGGTTCGCGCGCTCTCTGCAAGCAGGCAGAGGAGGCCGGCAGCATTATGACCACATTGCCTCTGGGGGTTTGGTTCAAGGGAGAGGCAAGGGCTGTTTCTCTGTCCTCTCTTTCCCAGCTTCCAATAGGCAGATGAGGCATTTTGAGAAAGCA